GGGGGGGGGGGGACATGCCAATCATCCGGTGCCAAACCTCCACCAGCTTCACTGTGAATCGTCCTTCTCCACAAGAAGGAGCCACGAGGGTGGGGGCTTGCTGCTATAGTCACAGTGCCTGGCTCACGGGAGGCGGTCAGTAAGGATTTCTTGGCTGAATGAAAGGGTGAGGGCTGGGCTCTGAATGGTTATCAAACTTGGCAATTAGGTGGCATCAGAAACATTAATCAGGACTATTTTCAAGACATTCCCCCCTCCCATATCCTATCCCACAGCCACCCAAAGCACCAATGGGCGCTTGTCTCCCACAAGACAGAAAAGTGTTCAGGTATAAAAACCTGAGTTCACCTCTGGACTGTGGGGCAAAAGTCTGTCTTTTCCAAGTAAGGCTCAGCCACGTGTTTTGACCTAAGTTCAGTGGGCACACACCGCCACATGAAGGGTGTTTGTTAAAGACTTTGACGTAATAGCTATAAAAAAAATAACCAAAGTCACTGCCATCAAGTCGATTCCAACTCACAGCGACCCCCACTGGGTTTCCGAGGTGGTAAATCTTTACAGAAGTAGATTTCCCCATCTTCCTTCCACGGAGTGGCTGGTGGATTTGAACCGCTAACCTTCTGGTTAGTAGTCAAATGCCTACGGCACTGGGCCACCAGAGCTCCTTATGTAACAGCTATGGAGCCTGTAAAAGCTACACAGGCACTTAAACAAAAAAGTATCTTTAGATTAAAATTAATCCTATGTGAGTTATGCCAAATGAAGAAATCACCCCATTGTTTTATCTGTTTTATGAGTTTTCACATTTGCTTACAAAACAGCTTACCTTGATCTTTTATAGTCCCCATTCCCACCAAGCAATGGTGGCTGATTTCCAGCTATACACAGAGAAGTCGAAAGATCAGCCCCTAAAGCACGAGACCTAGTGAGGAACTGACCCACACCGAGCCCTGCTGTCCCTGGGGGAGAGTCTGGCCCAGTCGGGTCAGGTGATTAGAGTCCAAAGCCCTTCATCGGGGTACCTCAGCCTCCCTCAGACTCCTTCTTCCACGGACCCGACCAAGCAGGACTCGGTGAACGTGCAGATCAAAACGCCCAGCACCCAGTGGGTGCTAAGTTATCAGTTGATTGTCAAGGTGATTTTCTCCTTCAGACCTCTCCGGCTTTCTTCAGATCACCAGGCTTTCTCTCATCGCTGAAGCAGAGTTCTTGGCATTTCTCATGCTTCAGAAAGCCTCCCCACTTCCTCAACAGACCAGAGCGCCCTGTGGGTCAATCATCTCTAAACGCAACTAGCTCTGCATCTATTTACCCAACACTCCACAAAGCGTGTCTGCTACATGGTGGTATTTATTCAGTGGCTTTCTGTTTAGTCACCACTTAAATCACTGCTAAGCTCTTTTCATAACTATTTGCATACAGTTTTCTACTCTGGATTGTGAAGTCAACACCAAGCAAGGGCCGGCCTGTTTAAGAGCGGTTTACAGTAACCAGCCCACTGTCACAGTCAAAGCTCAGGAAATGCTTGCAGAGGAGCAGGAGAATGGAGATGAGGGTCCCAAGCAAGGCCCAGACAGACCGCCCAACCCATGGACCTGAGGCTCGGCCCTGCTTTCCCCGCCGCCCTGGAGGGTCCACCTAAGGGCAGGTGTAAGGCACAGTGGTGAAGGACAAGATTGGCCAGCAAGCGTGGTCCTCTGGTGTAGAGGTAGCCCCTCACCTGGCAACAGTGCAACAAGCATTCGATACCGAACGGCTTCCTGAATGGTTAGCAGCAGCATTCTCTGATGGAAATGGAGGCAAGGTCTTTCTTGGAAGAGAGTGCCCCAGGAGATATTCTCTGCCCCAAGGCTAACCAGGTCCCTTTTAAGGTCCCTGAGGAACAGCAGCCCGGGAGCAACCAAGACTTTCAAAGGCTGACAAGGCACAGAATGGATGAATGAAAAGATAACGATACATGAAAAAACCTTTGGCTTACAAAACTTCCAACCTGAGGCAAGAACCGTGTCCATCAACACGCAGAAACAGGTACAACTGCATCAGTGATTATCACAGAGGATTCCGCATTTCACACGCTGCCCGCTTCCCAGCCCTCCCCTCCCCTCCCCCGCCCGCCTGCCCCCCAACACAAACAAGATCTGCAGAGCCAGTCAGAGGGTGGCACCCAGAGCTGACGGCAGGACAGAACTCTTGGCACGCTGCGTGAAAATCACCGTGGTCCGTCCCGTTTAGACAGCGAGGGTGAACACAGGTCTGAGCTTGGATGGCAGGGTCCACCTCGGAGAAAGTTAGGCTGCACCCAAATCAGCCAGGTCTGGAAAATCTTTCACTTCTCCTACTTCACTGAAAGGCTGTCCGCCCTGGTTGAATGTCAGCTTATACCGCAGGCGGATGGGCTCCTGGGCAAAGACACCAGGTGACAATTAGTGGGGGTGACACAGAAATAGCCCAGAGAAAAAGCTTTCACCCACGTAGAGCCACCAAGCAATACTATGTAAATTAACTCCCACCCAAGTGAGGGCTTCAAACCCTGTGTGACATGAACACTGCTTGCGACACAAACAAGGGCAGCCCTTCCGTACTTCTGCAGTCCTGAGATGGATTACAGTTCAGAGACGTCAGCCAAGGAAGAGAGAAGACTCACCCCTCAGGACTCCCACCATATCAGGGAAAGTTCACATGCCCCTCCTGGTTCCAGCTGTGACAATCTGTCACAGATCCCCTTTCAATAAGGGGACAGACTCTGGCTAGGAACATTCCACCACCACCATCCTCAACCCCACTGGATACTTCAGAGCCAGACCTCAACATGCCTTTCTGGCCCCTCCAATGTGCCTCCCTGGAGTTTGGGTCCCCAGTGTCCAAAGATAAGATGCAGAACATACTTTGTGTGGGTTTTCAAGCAGCAGCATCTGAGAGATCATGGCTGGAGGCATCAAAGGACTGAATGCAGGAAGCTTGGAGCTGGATGCCGGCTGCAATTTCACTCTCATTGACTATGGGGGTGGGGAGAGACCAACACGGAACTCATCACTCAAAAGCTACCGCCTCACTGGGCTTCACGAGGTGAACAGGGGCTTGGCTTCCACATGAGTCCTCTAAGAGAAGACGGGCTTCTCCAGAGATATGGTACTCCAAGGCACCTATGGGAGCCCAAGCAGACAGCTCCTGATTGAGGAAAGGATACACAACATCCTTCTGCACACAGAATGCGTCAGAAGTCATGTGGTCAATGGCCAGCATCTGAGAGGCAGCATAAGAGTGAGTGCATGTGTTGGGTTTCATTCTAACTCTGCCACTTACTAATGCTGTGTGACCTTGAGCAAAATACTTAACCTCTCTGAGCCTGGCATTCATAATTTATAAAATAGAGGTAATGCCTCACAAGATTACTGTGAAAATTATAGAATGCATATTTTTGTCTTGAATCTTTTCCTTTCAAGACACACCTCTTTCCTCATTCCTGGTGATTCTCATTATGGCCACTAATCAGTGGGGCCCTGCTTCCTCTGAAAAAGGGTGGGGAGATTATCCAAATATCTCTTATGTCTGGACACAAGTTATTGGTCCAAAATATTCAAGAGACATCAGCAAGCCCAATCAGAGCCCTTTCTTGAGTAACCAATATGCATGCCTCATATCACCTGAGTTTCTTTCTGAGCTAAAAAATATGAAGGACAATGGAACCTTGGAGCCCCTGGTGCCACTTTCCTGCTTTGTAGAAAGAGTGCCAGAAAACAGGCCCCAAAGAGGAAAAGTGAGTCAAGAGGGAAAGAGACAGATTCTTTTTTTTTTTTTTCCTGCAAAAGCCTTCTTTATTTTATTTTTTATTTTTTTTAAATTTTATTTGGATTTGGGTGAAGATTTACAGAGTAAATTCACTTTTCATACAGCAGTTCACATACACCTTGTCTCATGTCATTGACCAAAATTTACAATGCCACAGCTCCCCTCCCACTTCCTCCCCATAGTCACCTCCTCCCAGTGTCCATCCCCTCATACTCTTCTGCACCCTGAGCTATCTCCCTGTGCATAAGCAGCCCTTCCCTCTCCCATGATTGTTCTCTCCAGGGCGTGTGTCCACCTGAGGTAAATGTTTAACTCACATGCCTGTACTTTGTTTGGCTGGAAACCACAGTAAGAGACAAATTCTTAAGGAATCATTTAGGAACTTACCTGGATCCAGCCACACCTACAGCCAGATATGCGGGCACCCGCAGTTAAATGAGCCCATATGGTTCCCGCTTTATCTTAACCTGGATTGAGGGAAGATGCTAACCCTTACAACCAAGAGTCCTAATGGCATGCCAGAGGCCCAGCAGACGGTCTGGGGCTCAGAGGAGACAGCCACTACTGACCAACTCAGAGGCCCTGCCAGGAGATGACTCACCTTTGGTGCAGCTACTTGAAACATGATGTCCCACACAGGCTGGGGAGCAGTGCTCATCATGGTCAACAGCAACACCTGCACCTCCGGGTGGCCAGGGGCCCCGGTCTGGGAGAAGTGGAGCAGAATTCTGAATCCATTCCGGTCGTACACGATAACAGGCGGCAGGCTGCCTGGTAGAGAGGGACCCAGCCAGGAGAGTCAGTACACTGCACATTCCCCGACAGCCAAGCTTGAAAGAGATGCCCACACCACCCCCAAACCCTTTGGCCTCTCCGTCCAGAACATCACGTGGACATAACCTTTCTGCACTGGCACCACCACAGTGCAAGTCCTCATTACTTCAAGTTGGACTATCACTGTCCAAAGTGACCTACCCCATCATCCAACCTCCTAAACACGTTACCAGATAGTTTTTGGACTACTTCCTTCCAGTCTTTTTTGTATGACCCCCCCCACACACACAAACGCACAGAGGTTGTATTTAATTTTACAAAACTATAAAGACAGCAAACTTCTCATAATAATAGATTTAATGAAACGCCAATAAAAGTCTTAAAAAGGATTGTTTTAATTTAGCCACCAGCCAATCCTTGGAAGGAAGGTTGGGAGATCTACTTTCGTAGTGATACTGCCTCGGAAACCCAAGGAGGGGTCACTGAGTCGGGTCTCACTCAACGGCACATAACAACAACAACAAGATGTCATTCTAAAGTAAATGTGGAAGAAAAAAGTATGTAAGAATAACCAAGACATTTTTAAGAATAATTTTTAAAAGAGTCTATGTTATTTGCATTAATACTCAGATACTATATAAAATTACAATTCAAGTGACATGGTATAAAATAGAGCCCGCCGAACTGACATACATACACATATGAACTGAACATCAGACCACATATTTCAAAATCAGTGGCTGATTAAATAAATGGCATGCAGACAACTGGCTAAAAATCTTGAAAAAGTCTCAATGAAGATCTTTACCTCATGCTGCACATCACTTATAATCTAAAGGCAAATGATGAACATACATTTTTCAAGTAAACTGTCAACGACTGAAAGTGGCTGGTGCTAATGAATAACTCAGGAAATGGTAACCTTTCTGGAAAGCAACTTAGTAACACAGATCACAATTTCAATGTCCATACCCTGCATTTCCACTTTAAAGAATAAAATACAACGAAAAAGCCAGTAATGACTCTGAAGCGAAGATAAGAAGATAAGAGGGTGGGGAAACTAGAGTATTGAAAAGGAACCAACCAGAATGCAATTAACTGGAATGTTGACACATTGTGAAGAATGTAACTAATGTCACTGAACAATCTGTATACAAATTGTCCAACAGGAACCTGTGTCAATTTTCACCAAACACATAGTATTGTTTTTTAAAAAACCTATATACCTTAATGCCAATAAACCCGAGTGCATATATGGTTGTTGGGTTTCTGGGGGGTGGGGAAGCACGTGGCCCCTCATGCCTTAGCTTCCTATCCAGGCCACACACATCTATGCCTGCCTGCGTTACTTAGGTGGGAGCAGTACAAAACATGGATCCATTTAATCAAATTTTTGAACAATTGAGAGCACAAAAAACTGCTTATGATTTAATAGAAAATAAAGCAGGCTATACATACTATTGCTGCTTTGGTGGATGGTGGGTAAGACATTGTGGCTGCTAAGAGGTCAGTGGTTTAGACCCACCAGCTGCTCTGTGGGAGGAAGACATGGCAGCCTGCTTCTGTAAAGATTTACAGCCTTGGAACCCCAATGGGGGTCGCTATGAGTCGGAATCGAATCGATAGCAGTGGTTTGGTTCTTCTGGTTTATACATACTGTGGTGTGAATTTTACTAAAATGTGTAACTAAATATGTACGTATACAGATAAGACAAGGAGACACATTAAGACAGTAACGGAATTTCCACCTCCAGGTGGTAATAATGAAAGAACACACTGCCATCGAGTAGGCTCTCCTCATAGCGACCCCTCCTTGGGTTTCCAAGGTGGTATCACTACTGAAGTAGATTGCCCAACCTTCCTTCTGAGGAGCGGCTGGTGGGTTTGAACCTCTAATCTTCTGGTTAGCGGTCAAGTGCCTTAGGCACTACACCACCAGAGCTCTGCTTTATTTTCTAAGACTTCTACACTGGAACATATTTTTTAAAAAAATAAAAAATTAACACTGCTGAACAAAAAAAAATAACTCACTGCCATCAAGTCCACTCCCACTCATGGCAACCCAGTGCTCCAAACAGAACTGTACTCTGCGGGGTCTTCTGGGCTGTAATCTTGCAGAAGGGGGCGCTGGGCACAGTGCTTAAAGACCTGGCAACTAACTGAAAGGTCAGCGGTTCAAACCCATCAGATGCTCCACAGGAGAAAGGTGGTGCTCTGCTTCTGTAAGAACACAGCCTGGGAAACCCTATGGGGCAGTTCCACCCTGTCCTGCAGGGCTGCAATGAGCGAGAGTCAACCTGATGACAACAGGTTTGGTTTAATCTTATGGAGATCACCAAGCTTTTCCTCGGTGGTACATTCGAGCCTCAACCCTTTGGTTAGTAGCTAAAAGCAAACTGTTGGTGCCACCTGCTTATTTAAACTCTTCTGCCTGACTTCAGAGCCCTGTGCAATCTGCCCTCACCACCAAACCACAGGTGGGCTCCTTGCTGTAAAAAAGGGACCCAGGCCTCAGCTGCTTCTCGCTCCCCCCCGCCCCCCCAGTGCACTGACCACAGGCAGTGACCCAACTCAGCTGGGCCTTCCGTTCCATTCCCTCTGGAACGGTAGTTGGTATCCCCTTTCCTGCTTTAATGAAGACCCTGAAGAGAGGATTACTAGCCAAATCCTGCCCGTCCTTCAAAAGTTCTTCCTCACTAAACAGGCCACACTAAACAGTCCCTTATCTGAATTACAAATGAATTAACATCAGGTCACCAAGTACACTCCAGTCCTCTCATTAAATCTTGACCCAACATCCTTCACAGTGCCAACTGTGACTGCAAGACAAATACTTTTCTTTTATCATTTAGCTGGTATCAGCTAAGAGACCCTGAAGCTACTTCTTCCCCTCTGCCCCCTGGCAAACTTTCCACCACCCATCTCCAAGTTTAAAGACCACACCTACCAGTCGGAGACGACTGGATACTGGACGGCACATAACAACCACCACCACCACCAATCCTGAGTGGATAAAGGCAGACAGTTAACAAAGAACAGAGAAAAAAGAGGGTGCGGAACTGTACTTACTGGGCTTAACGGACTCCAAAGGGACAAAGAGCTGGGCCAGCGGTGTGTTCTGGGAAGACGGAGAAGCCATCAATGGGCCTGCCTCCCAGGACCAACCCGGAGAGGCCTTAGTGCCTGGTGGCACTTCCCTGGGGATACTTTTCTGGGGAACATAATTCCTCCAAAGAAATAAAACATACCAAAGATTAGCAAAAGACTGGAGAGCATGGGCAGCAGATGAATAACCAAGTAAATAAAATGACTATAATAATTTAAAAAAAAGTTCTGCAGAGTTCCAGGAAAATCTGTGATCAGGATTTCTGAAGAACAAGGAAAGAAAAAAGATGGGGAATACACACA